GCCACAGTGGCTACGCGCTTCCCCCTGGAGAGCGCGCAGGACCCCGATGTGGGTACCAATGCTGTGGGCTCCTACCGGCTGAGCCCCAACTCCCACTTCTCCCTGGACGTCAAGCAGCAGCAGGATGGCAAACTCTTCCCGGAGCTGGTGCTGGAGCGTGCCCTGGACCGGGAAGAGCAGCCAGAACTGCAGCTGGCCGTGGATGGGGGAAGCCCAGCCCGCTCGGGCACAGCGCAGATAACGGTCCTGGTCCTGGATGTCAATGACAACGCGCCCACCTTTGACCGCACCACGTACAAGGTGCAAGTCCCAGAAAACACGCCTGTGGGGACCCTGCTCCTCCAGCTCAATGCATCTGACCCCGATGAGGGGCCCAATGGGGAGACGCAGTACTCCTTTGGGGTTCACACCTCTGACTCGGTCCGGAGGCTCTTCGCCCTGGATCCCCGCAGCGGCGAGGTCCGGGTGAGTGGGGCCCTGGATTTCGAGGAATCACCTTTCTACGAGATCTACATGCGAGCCCATGATGGAGGGATCCCAGAGATGGAGGGCCACTGCGTACTGCAGGTGGAAGTGGAGGACGCCAATGACAACCCCCCGGAGGTGCTGCTCACCTCCTTGCTGAACCCAGTGCCGGAAGACACCCCGCCGGAGACTGTAGTGGGGCTCTTCAACGTACGGGACAGAGACTCAGGGGCCAATGGGGATGTGAGCTTAGAGATCTCCCCTGGTGTGCCTTTTGCCATCAGGTCCCTTCAGAACCACTTCTCCCTGGTCACCCGGGACAGCCTGGACCGAGAGTCCACCTCACAGTACGTAGTGGAGCTGATAGCCCAGGATGGTGGGTCTCCCGCCCTCACCACGACACTCACGCTGCTCCTCAACATATCTGACGTGAACGACAACCCCCCGCGCTTCCTGCAGCCCTCCTACGATGCCTTCCTCCCGGAGAACAACCCACCTGGCTCCCTACTGTGCACTGTCTCTGCCTCGGACCCTGATGACGGGGATAATTCCCATCTCGTTTACTCTATAGAGAGTGGCCAAGTGCAGGGTGCCCCCATCTCTTCCTTTGTCCACATCAACCCTGACAATGGCAACCTCTATGCTCAGCGCACCTTTGACTTTGAACTGCTGCAGGTTCTGCCGGTCTCTGTGGCCGTGCGGGACTCGGGGTCCCCCCCGCTCCATGCCAACGTTACCGTCTACATCTTTGTTCTGGACCAGAATGACCACCCCCCCACCATCCTGCACCCTACCAGTGACAGCGACATCCCGGCACCCCAGAGGGTCCCGCTGTCTGCCCCACCGGGCTACCTGGTCACCAAGGTGACAGCAGTGGATGCGGATGCCGGGCACAATGCCTGGCTCTCATACCGACTGCTACCGCAGTCCACTGACCCCTCCTTGTTCCACGTGTCGCTGTACACTGGGGAGGTGCGGACAGCGCGTGCCCTCCAGGACACCGACGTGGTAGCACAGCAGCTCATCGTCCAGGTAACGGACAATGGCGACCCACCAC